GAAACACAGGCCTTATCTAGAGCAAAGTGTTTGGTTTGTCCATTCTGGGCTACTGTAGAAACATGGCAGTTAAACATGGCAGACTCTGTAGAAGAGGACCCGCTCCCTCTGTAGTTAAAAAGTCAGCTCATTTTAAGGTTAAGATAACACAGCAATTGTTATTTTCAGGCGATTATACACTAATGAAAGCATACCTATGAATATTATGTTGCATTTGCCAATAGATCCTCCTAAATTGTTACACACTGGACTTTTAACTCTTGGAAATGAGAGGTCAGAGTTCATTTAAATAAAGGTCTCTAACACTGTGTCTGTCTTTGTTTGTTTTTTTTCCATTCAAACCAATTCCTGGAAAATATAGCCATAAAACCAGCTCCTTGTTTGAACTAACAAAACAATAAAGAATAGTAGCCCTCCTCTACTGTAACTCTAGGAGGAGGCATGAGAAAAAGCTTAGATAAATTATTGCTTCTGATACTGATGTAAAAAAAAAATCCAAGTGATTCTTTGATAAGATGTATGTTCCTTTTCGTGTGTACCTTGGAAAGAATTACTGTTCCTTCTGAGGCAGAAATATTGGATCCAAGACAGGAAAAACAATTAAAATCTTTGAAGTCCATGAGCTCATATCAAAACCACTCATCTGAAACATCTTCCCAGAACAGTCAGCTAGAATTAAACCTCCGTTAAAAAGGCCTCCGTGCCTCCACTGTGCAGATCCTCTCACCTGACCAGCTCATCTGCACTCATCCTCAAACTGACAGAAAACACAGCCAGCTCCCACTCGGTGCTGTTCCTCGCGATGAGGTTTGTTAACGCAACCTGACGCAGATCCTTCTTAGAAACCCTTTGATCAGTTAAATGCGTAAAGCAATGATGGCTTGTTGCCTCATCTGCCTTCTTGGAAAAAACTTAAAAAGTGAACTTTCTGACAGTGTGGTTTGAAGTCCTACAGCGGAATGAAAAGAGGAAATTTCCACGGCACCTGGCTTCTTGCTACTTTTTGCAAAGTTACAATGGATTTACACTTTTTTTTCTCTCTCTCTTTGTGTTGTTTATCTACTTAACATGTACAGTCTGAGATTTACAGCTATGCAGCAGGTGAGATAAGTAATTTCATCTCTATTATAGCTACAAACCTAATCACATATGAGAGATAGAGACCTTTTATGTGCCAAAAGAAAGAGGAAAACTGTTCATAGGGTGTCAACAAAAACAAAAAGACACTTGAATGTTATATTTTATCATTACAGTTAATAAGTATTTATTTAAGTATCCAATATTTCATGTTACCATATGACCTTTTCAGACATGTAGAGTGGTCTGCAGAAACTGACTTCTTATATTAACAATAGATATATAAATAATCACAGGTGCAACTTGTAGTGAAAAAACACACAGAAAAATGTCTGGACTTAAATTAATTAAAATCAGCTCTATTGCTCCATGCTCCTTCAATTCAAAGGAGGTAGGTAGGTTTTAGTGGCATGTAGTGGTGAAGTTGCCGATTGCAACCATTAAGTAGAGCTCAGCCTTCCAAGCGTGTCGGAGAAACTTCTACATAAATAAATAAAAATGGCTCTAATAATGAAATATAATATTGCGCTTCTGCCAATAAATCTTCCTAAATGTTAAACACTGGACCTTCGACTCCGATGTTTGATTTAATTTTACGCTAAAAACATTTTTGGGATGGATACGATACAGTGAGTTATTAGATATTTGTGTTTATAAACCAACAATATCAAAAAAGGGAATATAAAACACACAAATACCTGATCTCATTGTGGACTTTTTTCTTCTGTTCAGGTACCCTCGCATCAATAAAGAGTCCCTCCTCCCCGTGTCCACGAACTTGAGCATGAATGGGCAAAACACAGAAGGCTGGTACCCTCCAGGACACGGCGACATCTACGCCAGCTTCTACAACTCGGGCCTGCTGGACCAGCTGATCGCGCAGGGCAAGGAGTACATCTTCGTGTCCAACATTGACAACCTGGGAGCCACGGTCGACCTCCACATCCTGCACCACCTGGTCAGCCAGCCCAACGGCAAGCGGTGCGAGTTCATCATGGAGGTGACGGATAAGACGCGCGCAGACGTCAAGGTATGTGGAGGAGGAGCGGCTCTTTGTAGATTCATGGCGGATCCATGGTTTCTTTACACATGGTTGTGAAGTTCAGGTCAGATGAATGTCAGTTAATACGGAATTATTTTGCAACGTTTCTTTATATACGTAACACATCTGTGTACTAATGCAACCAAAATAGTGTATTTATCATATCCAATAAACAGAAATAAACAGAAGTGATCTTTTTGTATGGAATAAATAGATCTCCTGTAACATTGCTATGGGTGAAATTGATCACCGTTGTTTTTGTTTTCCTATTTTAGTCATATTTTCTGTACTCAGCGGTGTTGTATACATTACATTTGTCAGGGAAAACAAGGAATGTTTGTGTTGAGCTTTAAAGTCACTCATTTACACACATTGAATGCGTCTATAATAGCTTATTCTGATCCTCAGGGTGGCACTCTGATCCAGTATGACGGAAAACTGCGTCTGCTGGAGATCGCCCAGGTCCCCAAAGACCATGTGGACGAATTCAAATCAGTTTCAAAGTTCAAGATCTTCAACACCAACAACCTGTGGATCTCTCTGGCTGCCATCAAGAGGCTGCAGGAACAGAAAGCAATGGACTTAGAGATTATAGTCAACCCCAAGGTGAGTGAAAAGGGGACTGGGAAGTTACACAAACCGCACACACACTTAGGAATGAGGCATAGGCAACACCAAATAACAGAACAGTTCTGGTTTTTATTACAGATAATAGTTGTTGCTCAGTTTTATGATTCTAAAGCCAAAGGATGTGTTATGAAAGTATCCACTGACACAAGAAAAATAAAAAACAAGGAAACAAACTGAGGGAAAGATATATAAATATAATAAAGGCAAAGAAAAGACTTCATAATCACACCCTGTTAATGGTTGGGACAGTCATTTTCTTCCAACATGTATATTGATTTTTTGCTGGGACGAGGGAATAAGAAGAAGAGTTGCTGAAGTACAGAAACAGCCAAGAATGATTAGTAAAGGATTTGGTCCTACATTAGTGGTAAAGACCTTGTGTCAAAACAACAATAGAACAAATGGGTAAAGATTCAGAACACAAAGAACTGAGGCTTAAAGTTATTTCTGAGGAGTGGCTTCAGTCCCATATGGCCATCATTACTGTGAAAATATGTTCACAGCTACATTACAAAAATATTGGTGACTAAGTCTGATGAACATGGTTTTATAACAGCATCCATCAGGACAACAAACATGAGCCTTGACTTTGTTATGTCAACAACTAAATAAATCTTCTAGTACAGAGGTTTTCAAACCGCGAGGCACGCCTCCCCGGGAGTCGACGTGAGGCAAAGACAATGCGAGGTGAAAGGGACAGTTTCTTATCAGTGTTCTAAGAACAACAGGAAATTAGTTATTGTAGTTTGGCCCTATGATGTGGCCTGATCACCAACACAGTCAGCAGCAGCAACAGTGGCTGTGAAACACAGCTCATGGAGGCAATTAAGGTTCTTTAAATCCTTTAGTGCCCATTTGCTGCAATCTGCCAGAATGTTTTTATTCTCAGAGACAGAGACTCAAATCTGAACACGCTGAACACGCACACATGATACACATATTTTAAATTCAGTTGGACTTCCCACAGATGTCCAAGAATAAATGCCCATAAATCCACTTAGATCATCCACGGTTGCATTACAAACAGGAACTGCTAATAGAGAATTCGGCATATCTTTTGTGAAAATGTAAACAAATACAGGCTTAAAAAAAAACAGGCTTAAGCTGTAGCCCACAGCTAACTCACTGAGTCTATGGCAACAATATACTTCCTGTTAATCCCCCACATTGTGGGAACTGTAGTTTAGAATTAAGAGCAAATGGGGGATGTTTGGAGGGCACTGTTGTCTCTGTTTTTGTCTGCCTCAGTACCTCAGTCATTTTTATAATATAAGGAATACTTTCAGGCTCCTGAGTTGTGCCGTCTTTCAATATGCTCCAGTCTTTATGCTTCCTCCTCTTCATTCCCTCCCGATGAATTATAGAGCCCATCGGAGTGAAATGACTCATAAATGTCCTCGTAATAGCCCGCTGTTGGATCATCCATGTATGAGCCTGAAGCCTTGAGGGGGCTGATTCAAAGAAGGACCACACCAGGACGTCTGAGTGTGCAATAGTTCAGATGAAACAATTGGCTTCAATAATGGTCAATAATCAGCCCACCTCTCAGAATAATTCCATCCATCCTGTTTTACCGCGTCCACCCTGTCGTGTTAGAAAACATATCTGTGCAGAGCAGGGAGATAACGTGCACCTCTCTCCTCTACAGAGACCACCGCCTCTAAATAAACCCCGCTTTCAGAGGAAACCCATATTTTAAATCCTCTCTGTGCTCCTGCCGTCCTGCACTGCTCAACTTTTTTGAGCCGTTTGTTGTCACGTGAGGGTTTTGCATACAAAGGAGAGAAAAGGAGCTTCAAACCAATCCAGTTTTCTGGTCACCTCTCTGCATCTACTTGGGCGGCAGTTTAAGCTGTGTGTGGGATGGCATGAGAGAGACAACAAATACTAAAGTTTTACTTCCTTCACAAATATTTTACTTCAAATGCCACTTCTGTGAGCTGCCTCTCATTCTACTTTGTGTCCTGAGCTGCTTTGTCCAGCTCGGATTCCCTCAGGTCTGCATACAGTTCATTTTCACACACATTTCTTTTTAAAGAAGCAAAGAGTTGTTGAAAGAAATTAAAATTGTGAGGCAGCAATAACTGAGCTGCTTGGATTAACATGAAGGAAAGGTTTGAGTAAATGCTTAATCAGTTGAGTTA